GTTCGAATGATATCGAGCGGTGCGAACGAATTGCACCCATCATTTCACAATTAAATTACGTCTCATTGAAGCATATATATATATAAATATATATATATATATATATATAGTACGGAAGTCTACGTCCTGTGTTCTTTCCAGCAACAAGGAATTTCGAATTGGTTTCAAAGAGCAAAAACAGACGACATACGCTCATTGGATCGAGCTCTGGCACATTAACACAAATGGTGAATTTGTCAGTGAAGAACGAATACCGTAAACAGTAATATCGTACAGGTACATCTACGGGTTTATTGTGTGCTGCAAAAAAAATAACAGATCCTCTTTTTAAGATGGCAAACAATTGGGCAGGATATAAACACATTACGTACAGCGATACCTACCCCTGATCTTCATAGATGAAAATTTATTAAATTCGCCCGGATATGTTATGTTCACTATTATGAATGGAGTAAATTTAGTAAGAAAAAAAAAGCATGTTATTTTAGTGTCACAGGTTGCTTAATTGAAAAATAAATGGGGTTCGCAAGATCTTGGCCTGTGATGATCGTAGCTAGCTATAGCAGACATCTGTCCTAGGTCGTTCTTGTTCTTTCAAACCGGTCTTATTCCCATTACTTCCCGACATATTGAGTGTATCTTGCTTCCGAATATAACGAACGTAAACTACCAGTTTTTTCATCAAATTGTTATGAAAGTTTCCTACAATGAATATAGGAGAGGTAAGCGTCACGTCTTGAAGGACTAAGGTGGCAAAAAAATGATTTAGTCATCTATGCACAGATACGTTATAGATATTCTTTGAATAGCACAGAATGAAAGGAGACCTATTTACAATCATCTATCGCTGTTTCTTTTGATAAAGCACAGAGATTATATACATATGTGTAGTCTCAGTGAGAAACACCTTGACGACCGATTCAAACACCTATTGGTCCCCAATTGACCAATTGAAAACTGAATAACGCCAATGCGATTTAATGCTGCCATTTCATGGAAGTAGCTATCGTTCTATTGACATTATTATAACGATTGTGTATTTATATTATTTTATTGCACGTTCGAACGAAGACTTTTTAATAGTTTACTTATTATTAAAACATTTTTGTCCAGTACCAATTGGACCCATATAAAGCAAGATCAATTTATTAACAATACTAAAGGGAACAATATTATTTCTTTCATATTTTCACAGCACGAACCAAAGGACGCGATTCCTGTTCCTCTAATCTAAAAATCGTGGAAATATTATGGCTCCCGTAGCAGAGTTTGTAAGAGTCTTAAGAACCGGAAGTTCTAAGGTGGCAAATCGGTCAAAGAAAGAACTTTGGTATAAAAATTCAGTTTGCGCATCTAGGTCGTTTTAAAAAGAATGTCTGAGACATCGTTGAAATTACATCGACGTATAGACCTAATCAAGAGATACACAGGCGCCACATTCATAGGATAGAAATCAGGTATATCTGTTTTACGATTAACAGAGAAAAAACAAAGAAATAGAATAGATTTTTTCAATTTTGCCGAACAATGTGGCAGAGAACTTAAAATTTTGCTGTCTAAGCCACGGGCGGAATCGCTAACCGCGGGTGGTGCCAGATTGGGCTGTACTCTTGCATTCGTTGTTCGGTTGACGCGTACCGGTAATCCTCAGTTGGTTGGCTTTGCCCAACTCAAAATCAGAAAATCCAGAAGGGCCTCATCTTCAAAAGTGCAATATGAAAATGGTAGACTCTCGTGTGATGTGGTGGTCTGGAATGAGTGCCCGAGTGCCGGGAGGTAAGTGACCGGGCAGGCGGGCGAGCTCCGCGCAAGTACGGGAAAGTTGTTCCGCTAGGTAGTGGTCATGTGAAGTCGGTGTGGTCAAATGGCGCTTTATGAAATGGGTACCGTATCCCCGTACGCATCGCCCTTCGGTGTTTGTCTCCGTTACCATCAGAGATGCCGTCGACTCCCGGAGCCTTCGTCGCACACGATCTGAGCACAGCAGATCATCAATTTTAATAAAGCGTTGCTGTTTCGGGTGCGGGGTGCGGGCAAAGCGGGCAGCCGTGGCCAGCTGGAGGTTGGGCTGCTGCTAGTTTGATGACTGGTTTGTTTGTCGCGAGCGGGGCGTATATTAATGCTGCCACAGCGAATAGCGGCAGTTGTTCAATTTACTTGTAACACTGATAGCCGTGGTCTTAGACGGCATAGACAAAGGCGATGCAAGATTTCATACAAAACTTCAGTTCGAGAGGGTTCTAAAGAAGTTGGACGAAGCTGAAACAAGGATTGGACTTTGAGGAGCGATGTGCTGGACTACCTGGCAAGTGTACGCTTTGTACATTGTCGTTGTGCATCCATTTGCTCATATATGCGTAATTTGCCTAAGCTGAAATAATGCTCCATCTGTTTTAATCTAAAGCTTATATACATATAATAATGCAAGAATGGACTTTAGGTGACTCAAGGCAATCATGTATTACTTACGGGTCGGTAATGAGAGCTCAAAACACCGGATTATGAGCAACAAGTTCAATGATTCATCTTAAGTCTTTAACAGTTTGGATTTATACAGTTTTTGCAGTACTGTTATCAGGATGGATGTTTTTAAAAGCAAAGACATGTTCGACACAAAAATGTTTTTTTTTTTTTCATAAAAAACAAGACGCTTCGAAAAAATCCTTATCTAACGGACTGTCTCGAATAAGCAATAATAATCTTATGTAAATATCATTGAAACATTACTTCTTGATTAATTTTTCTATTTGTTTAATCTTACGGACTGAACTGGGCTCAGTTACAAGATCCAATCAATATGGATTTCTTCGTATCCTTTGGTGAGGCATAAGGTAAAGGTATTCAGAAAATCGTCAACTATTATAGTGCAGGGTCAGCACTTTAGAAAAGTGCTAAGAAAAAAAGACTATGATTTTTGTAGTTTGAAATTCGTTAGCTTTACACGTTTGTAGAAAATATGGAAATAGGCATGAAGCGTGTTTGAATAGGAGGAAGTATCTCCGCAGACAGCAGCTTAGGGTCAGGCAAAACAATATTGAAAAAATCTAAGAACACCGCGTAGTGCTTCCAATATGAGTTTCCTTATGTGAAGGTTAGAACCTGTTAAATATACAACTAAAGGCAAATTTAGCAGGATCTAATGGGCTTCATAAAAGCACTTTGACCATTTGCAGTGGAATTTTCTCTAACATCAGTCTTCAAGTTTGAAGAACATGCGACTTTTATACTTACCCTCTTAATCAACGGCAAGCAAACTTAAAAAATCAACTGAACTATTAGAAGCAAGCTCGTTGAAGCGTCAGTAAACAAGAATAGCAATAAATACAATACCAAATAATTACCACCCCCTGTTGCTATTATCGTCCTCTGCGTGACAGCTAGTAATGTCAAATGATCTACTTTTTATCTTGTTTTGTAGAGGGATAACCCAGAATATAGGTTTTTCACATGAAAAAGATTCGCGTGACGTATCGTAGATCGTCATATAGAATCTTGATCACTTTTCCCGACATGAAGTGCCTGCGTGCGAGGAAGCCAGAAATCTGACGGCCTCGTTAGGACGCGATCAAACCTGTGCGAGTTATTCCTGCGATGGCTGGTTCGACAACCAAGTCCTTTGTAAAGATCGCATCGTTTACAGGGAGAAAGCGTGCCATGACGGGTACCCCCCAACGTTGCATACCATGATCGTTTGTGATAGATGATTTGTCTGAACGTATTCGAAATCGTTGACTCTCGCTGGCTTACTCGAGTAGTATACGAACGGCCGTAGACAAAAATACACCCTGGCGTACATATACATAGGTAAATTACATTGCGGGGATTGAGTCAGCCACTTCTTCTTCTGAGTTCTTGACCAGGTATTAACGACATAAGCCGCTATAAAGACGTTGATGTAAGCGTATGACTGCTTTCCATAACCAGATATCAACGGTTGTGACTGAACCGTCTACTACAGTCGAGGGTCCTCACGAATTTTTATGTCGATACAACATCTACATATAACCAGTGCGTCACTTATATTTTAAAGAACTTATCTGTTATAATGTATAGTGCTATAGTCCTCAAACGGCTATATCGAAGAGCTGAGAGGTGTACGTTCTCTGTCGACTTTTCTGTTTCATTATCGTCTCATACATTGAGGCACTTAGCTTGATCGCTGGGTTCTATGTCGCTAGCCTTCGCCGTAATATTAGCCGTCAGCTCAGTAGTGTTCTATAGTCCATCAGCTTGGTCAGTTATATTGTTTAACTGTCTTCCGCCGATGGACCAGCGGTAGACAAACGATACGCGAGCTTCATCGAGTTCACGGGCGACATAATACATCTGCCACAAAATCCGTTATGATGGATTATAATAGCGGTCGTAGAAGTATCGATTGTTTACCATCTGTTCTATTTCGAATTTTAAGAATATCCTATCCATTCATTATGTACATATTTCTATGTTTGAAATGTGTCAACAATTATGCGGTTTACCTAGGCGAAAAGGCGCCATTGTGAAAACGTCTTCTGGGAAAGGTCGGGTTCCTATTAAGAAACGTTTTTTTTCTTCACTGGCTGCATTCGCTGACATAAATAATAGGATCACTCTTACATATATGATGATGATGATGGTCAGCAACTAGAGCACTGATTAAAAACTCAGTACGTCGGCTAGAGACTAATTGTATCCGAACTAGTGTCTGTTTATCATTGACCGTACGCTCGGAGATCGTTACCAGCACTCGCTCAATACTTCATATATATATAATTCATCTGTTTATCAGCAATGAATTAGTTTAGAGAATTACTATGTATTAAATCTAATAGGTTTCCTTTTTTCGCTTTTAGGTTCCATAAATGTTGAGATGCCTTAGTAATGAATTGTAATCGAGCAGCAACAGTGTGCGATCCGGCTTTACTAAATGTGATGTATTTTTCGTTGTAGTTTACTCTTTTTGTATGACAAACGCAATAACACATTGTGCAATATGTCCTCGGTATCTGTGAACCTTCAAGATGGCCACTACCTGTATGTAGAAACGTCCAGTGAGGGCAGCTCGTACCGAAAAGCAAATCTATATTCGCCGATGTTAATGGGAGACCCAGGCTTTCCAGCAGGACAACTCCGCTGCTTCAATTTCTGGTACCATATGCGTGGTGCCACAACTGGTGAGTAATGAATAAGTCGAAGCAAGATGGCGTATTGTTTGTTTATTGATTGATCTGGAATGATCCTCATTGTCAGCAAGCTTTAACTCAATAATCTTAACCGGGTCGAAGTATTTCGTGTGATATTATTTTTATGACGGATAGGAAATTCTAACGGGCTTAGCCTCTTTGGCGAGAACCCATACATCGATATTAAGGGTCCAATTAAATTTGTAGTTAAGTTTATTTACTGATAGATGGCTTGTACTGAGACCCAAAACGCTTTGGGCAAGCCCATTTGGTTGGTACGGAAAAGTTGTTCTTCATTTATGTGTTTACAGTTGGAGATTTCATATATATATTGTTCAGTTGATATAACCGTGCTGGAGTAGTACGGCAGGTACGGACTAGAAGTACCTACAACAGTGAATGGCTAATGGGTTCATTCTAATAAAAAAGACGAAATTCGTACGATACGTCTATAATTCTAAACAGATGCCTCCGGATCGAGACCATAATACCTTAAAGCGCTCTTATCAATTTTTGCGGGGCAAACCTAAAATCTCAATTCAAGAAGAAACTTGGCAGATATCACAGAGTCACACGGTAACAGACTGTGTGATAAATGTTGCATTGAATAAATAGGTGAGGGCATGACTACTTGAACCGATCACTAGTATCCAAAAGATTGGTTATTAACTAATTAAAATTAAAAATATGACTTATGTAGTCCGTCGCGACGTTGCCGTGCTTGTCTGTGACGGAGGTTAGACAATTATTTGATTAGCTTGGAACGTCCATTGCTCGACCGTTGTAGCCGTCGTACCTAGCAAGATTTTTTCTCAGAAAAAATAGGGGCTCTTATTTATAAAATTTCTTTGATCATTCTGTTCTGACTTTTTTTTTTTTATTAGTGAGAGGCTTTTCCACTGAGGTAAGCTCCGTCAGCTAAAGAGATCCATCGTCTTCAAGAGTACTCCTAGATCGTTGGTACGAGTGTGTAATTACAGTTAGCGCCACTATTTCAGACGTTTGTTGTCATATCAACGAACAACATAATTAAAAAAAAAAAAAAAACTGACTGCTTCTCCCAAATGCTAGTTGACCGAAAAAGTACAATTGTATTATTTATTTTTATCGGGGCATATTTCAGGCTTTGTTTTGTCGTATCGCTATTTTACGTCGTGTACAATGAAAGAGCAGAACCGTAAGTGTACGCCAATACTGTCCTTGGTTATGATGGGAGCCTTTAAATAAGTTCACTTTAAATGTGAGACATAAAAGGTGTAGAAAGATCTAAGTATCAGTTAGATTTCGATGTTGAAGAGCAATCTGTTTATGCGCTCATGTTGTAACTTAGCGGTAATTATCAAACAGCCACTGATTATTATTATTATGTAACTATTGTCCTGTAATATTGTTCTGCTACGAAGTACGTTGTTTAGTCCCTGTCTCCTTTCTCCCTCCCTCCCTCTCTCTCTCTCTCTCTCTCTCTCTCTCTCTCTCTCTCTCTCTTTCTCTCTCTCATATATATATATATATATATATATGAGAGAGATCTATGTGCATAGATTCAGCTCTGACATTACAACTTTTTCATGTTATCTCCATCACTCTTTCACCTTTCAAATTATACATCATTATTATTATTATTATCGTTGTTCTATTTTTTGGAACCGCGTACACTACAAACCGTGTATTTTTCATCAAACCAGATAAGCTTAAGCACACAATATAAAATAGAATGAACATATTCTCGTAATATTAGCAGCGTACTATCTATTGCATTTTTACAGCTCTAAGTCTAACAGACGTTCATGCGAATACCTTATTCCATTTGTTCTACCCATTGTTTGCCTGTAAATAACTCCTACATATGAAGCTGTGTCATTTGCTTTGAACTGTTGTTGCTGCTGCTGAAAAAACTGAAGACTTCCAGAAGCTGCTGCTGCTGCTGCTGCTTCATTTCGGCGGATGAAAGTATAGTGGCTGTAAAATGTATCTGTGGGGCAACAGACGATCTTGGGAAGTCGACTGCCTTAGAGCAGGGAGATTCACTAAGCAAGCAGGGAAACGTGACAGCGGGTGGGAACGGAAACCCTAACAAAGAATTCACGTCTGCCTCGGAAGGTTCGCTGGGTCCAGCTAGGGCAACTCTGCTTTCGGCCACGATAGCGCCCCATTCGTTGCTAAACTATGGTTTTCCACGTAAACTCTACTTCCTCGGTGTTAGCAAACGTCACAAAACATACCTACTACTTTCATGGAGCGAAGTCAAAGGCGAACGTAGGGTTTTTACATACACACCACATTCCACCTTTTTTTTTGAATTCCGTGTGTATATAATTTTCTGGCATAGCTTTGACATGTATGTGCGTACATAACATATATAGGTATAGAAGTACACCTTTATCTGATAGGCATCTCCTTTAACGTGTAGCCATTATCTAGGTAATATGAAATAGCGATAACTTCGGTTTTTTTTTTTGTCGTCTTTCGCTTTAAATTTCCATCGTGTTCTATCATGTTTTGTTGCAGTTTCAACGTCACTCACTATTTGGTTTTTCGCTCTGACTACAAGCTACCGATGCTGATATACCTCTATTACCGAGACGTGTGCTCTACATTTACCCTTATATCTTTGATTTCTTTCGTGCCGCCTGTCATTCCATATATATATACGCATGATATGCTTTCCGCTGGTATGCCGAGATAGTTCACTATTGAGATTTGTTGCGATATGTCTGGCATCACAACTGATAGATCTATGGCGTTCAGTAGCGCGGCTTGCCGACCAGGGCATCTTGACTGGTTATCAGGTTCGACGAGCATTTTCAACGAATACATTCCCAGAGCTACATAGTGTCCTACTTGAGTAGTCGTGTTGACCAGATCTGTGTTTGTTATCGGCGCGAATGTTTCCGCATCCGTGGCAGAACAATGTCTGTACTAGCTAGCCATAATCTCCACTATCCGTTGGTTCTAAATATGTATGTAGAGTACGTAGGCAGGTACGATGGGCAAGCTCTCTGTAATCGTGCATGAACTATCGTTGCATGCACCGATATAGTAGCGTACATCGTATAAAACGTTGCCATAGAGCACAATTAACAGAGCTGGTGGGTTAAAAGCTTTGTTTGGAAAACGCCTCCCTGGATAAGCTATGTTGAAATTCCACACACGAAGATGAGCGTTCTCATATTAGTCATAGTAATTTGTCGAAAGCTTATTAATATTACTACAGTTTGTTTGTTCGCTGCTCTGTGGACAAATCCCCGAAGATTGTGGAAGATATGCATGGTGATTATGCTGCAACAAAGTAAAATTAAGCTAGTGCACAAAAGCGGTATGAGTCTAGATTTTATTTAGGGTTATTGGAAGGTAGTTGCAGATGTCTAGATCTATTTTATCCTTGTGCTTTTTTCATTGTGCCGGTGTAGTGGAGTAGAACATTACACACTTATTAAGTGCTTGCGATGTGTTTCTACATGCAAGTAACCCATAAAACACTTATGAGCGTTGGGCCTAAGGGATATTCGGCAGGATCGTCTCTATTGAAGCTTTTATTAATTTTCCTATTCGTACTCTGGTTTTAAAACTCTATGAAAGCTCGAGGTTCGACGTCTTCCGGAGTGACTTCTTATTTGCTTTAGAACGCATGTGTTCGAAGGAAAACGAAAGAGGTATCTCCAGTAAGTAAAAAATCGTAAAATATTAAGGCTGGACAGATGCCGTCATGAAAGTCATGCACTTAAGATAATGCCTTTCTGAAAACTGCAATAAAATGTACAATTTCAAAAACTCCAAACTCAAACTGTGATATGCTTAATTTTTTGTCTAGCACTTCAAGTAACAAGAGACACTTCTGAACAGATCCGGGGTATTGATTTTGTATGAGTTCGACAAAAGATGCATCATTAAAGTCGCAAAACCGATTTTGCGGATGTGACCTCGAAAAGATCTTCGCCTTCTGTCTAATGACTGGCACGCGAATAAATACATACTTCTCTGTACGATAACGTCAAAGACAGTTTGAGGTCTTGAGAGTAAGACTGCGAAAGGCGAAGTAAGGAAAATGAGTTAGAACCATCGGTTAAGTCGTCCTAAAGAGAGCATCGATCGAGAAGTTATAAGTCCCGTCTATTTCATCGATATTCATCCTCATCCGCTTTTCTACTACTCAAACTGCTATGGCTTTTGCTTGAGTAGGCGTGCCTAGTTAGCTGCCTGGTTGCTCCCAGCCCCCTTTTCAATGTTTTGCTTTTATGACTCATGCGCTCAAATCGAGGCGCGAAAACCCCTGTGACATACCCGTACGCTTGGGGATTATGGATGTGTGCCGTCTCGAGCCGCCGCCAGGGTCCCTTCGCGCCAGTCAATCGCCCCCCCCCCCCCCGCTAGACGAATCTGGGCGATTTGCAATTTAATGATGCCAAACTGATGGCTAGTCTCCAGGGGTCGATCTTTTATCTTCAACTGCAAGTGACTTCCCGAAAATGGTCACGCCGACTAAATGTGTGCTAGAGACATTCTATTGTCTTTGTACGCGGAAGGCCGTATATGCTGCACCGGCCGTCCGTTGCTGCTACCGCGGGGGAGTCTGGTGCTATTTCTGCTACTTTACTGGAAGCTAAAACCACCGTTGGCCTATCGGCAAGGTCAGTTACAATGGAACGTAGAAAGCGAATTATGAAAATGATCGTAATAAGCTAAGCAGGAGAGGCTCATCTAACGAGGATTTATTATTGTGCGGGTCGGTTATTATCCTTCGATCGTGACTAATAGGAACGAAGGGTCGAGTAGAGAAAAAAACTCGAAGCGCAAACACGAGAGACGAGCGGGATGACTATTGTTCTAACACTCCAGAGGCTGCTGTTCAGTTCTTTGGTTGCTATTTGGAAAGAAAAAGAAACAGAAGGAAACCGTAGAGTACTGGGATGGATCAGGGCGGTGTGAACTAAAGGAAACGTCGGAGGGACGACGGTGGGGAAATCGAGATAAACGTGCTTCATCACTCCCCA